TCAGAAGGTCATATGCATATAAACAAACAATTAGAAGTCTTAAATGTAATTCGTAACTATGATCATTTACTCCAATTCGTTATATCATTTTCTAATGGGAAACAGAATAACTTACTTGCAAGCCATTAGAAACTGGAACCCGGAGATCTTGAGCACCTAAAAGAAACAAAGTTGGTGTTTTAACCTGCAAAAATTATATATATCAGTAATTACTACTAGGTACTGTTAACTAACCAACTGTCTTAATAGAAATGATTCAATGTGAATTATTCTTAAGACAGCAGAGAACTTTTAGTTCTAAGTTTCCTGCTGGAGATTGTAAAACAAATATTATAGAGTCAAGTCATAAGAATGGGGTTCATGTTCCATTAGCTGCAGTATTAAATTGGACAACAAGGTCTATTTTATTTAAATTTTCTATTCTGGAATCATCCAGAATCTCAGCCAGCCTGTAAGTGACAAAGCATAGTATACAGTTCGTCAGTGGCTTTAGCACCGCATACAAAGGCATAAGGTGCACTCATCCATTAGTGCTTAAACGAGCCTGGTCACAGGATCATATTGTCCATGCCAATAATGCTGACACAGCTGTGGAAGAAGATTTTCTATTGCACTGAGTTCGACTTGCTCTTGAACATATCGAGGCACCCACTGTTTTACCATTCTGTTGTGCTTCTTTTAGGAAACACTTAAGTCCTAATACAGAAATGAAACTATTTTCAGTAAGCATACCTTTGAAAGGTGTGCTATAGGAGACATGCTGAAAAAGTGACTCAGGTGCTCAGCTGAGGGTGCTTCTGTATAGATACTTTTCCCCTTAGTGCCATAGGCTTCAAAATAACACCAATCAGGAATATCTGTTGTACCGACCATTGATGCAATGTTACAAACAGGATTCCTCACAGCCGCAGCAACAAATTTATCTGGTGCCTGCATAAATTTGTAAAATTCAGGTCTTTCATTCCTTGAGCCAATATCCATGTATTATTACAAATCACAGCATCCAATCGATAAAAGGTATTTCACTACAGCGGGGTGGTATAGTGTGATCATGTTAAAAAGCAATCCCACCTGACCAATCAAATGGGAGGTCAAAAAGCCACCATGAGAACCACCAAGCACAGTGATTTTAGATGGGTCAGCAAGTCCCATGTTGATAACATGATCTATAGCTGTGAGCACATCATTGACATCCTGCAAAAAGTAAAGCTTAGAATGTAGTGTCTGCATGAAAACCTTAATTGTTTAAGAATTAAAATATGAAAGTCAACTGTTTTCTTCTGAAAAAAATTAACAATCAAGTATGCAAAACAAATAACAGACACCTGGGATCCAACTTTCCCAGGAAGAGATTGCAATGCTTCCTCGCCGAACCCCAACGAACCTCTGTCACCAATATCCATCTTAGAATCTTGGACCATTCAGTATGTTAAAGTGGGAAAATTACTGACGCTTAATAGAAATAATTTTAACACCATAATTATGAAAGTTGAAGCAATCATAAGATGCTCCCATTCTTTCTGTTTTTGTGGTCGTCATAATAAGATATTTTAGAAGGTAAATAATACTACCCTAAATACAACGAAAAGCAACACAGGTAAAGTTTCTCTCACCTATAATTGACTATCAACAAACTGTTACCAATAGAAGCAAGAAATGCTAAAGACTTTGAAAAGGTTGTCAATGAAACAGAATGAGGGCCTCCATGAAGAACCACAATAAGTGGATCACATGCATCCCTCTTCTTAGTATTGGAAGACACAAATAGAGCTTCAAAAGGCTTCGTAGCACCTGAAACGAATATCATGCAGAGGCTATCAGAATCAATCATCTCTTTGGCACAAAAGAAACTAATGATTACACTTGGTACTGGTGTGCATGTCCAAAAAGAGAACAAAGACCAATCAGTTAAGAGAAGACGTCAATACAATAATCGAGAGAACTTGACCATGACTATACATCATCTTTGTTTCACCATCGAAAGTTTCCCATAACATTCAACTTGCTGTTAGATCCACAAGAGAAACTTTAGGAGATTTCTCCAATTTTTTTTTCAAAAAAAAAAAATTCTTGACATTCTCTTCAGAAGAGGTAGCAACATAATCTAAAAATTTCAACTAATTACTAGCCAAAAACTCTGTTAAAACTAAAAAAAAGGCCATCAGACCACCATTAGGATAATATAGAAATTTTTTAGCCTTATCAGATATAGGCTCTTAAACATTATTGTGATTTATATTTAAGAATATTACTCTATTAGTTGTAATAACAGTGGGATAACTAGGTCTGCTATAGAATAAATGAAAGATAGAATACCTTCTGTTAGAAAACCAGAAACATCCTTGATTGGAATCTTCAGAATACTGAACTGAAGAGACAAAACCAAGGATGCAACCTGTGGCAAAGAAAGTGAAAGCATTTAGTGTATAATCTAAATATTTATAAAACAATTCATCCTTGTTTCTGTTTTGTTTTTTATCTTGACAACTTAGTTACAACCTGAATCCTGGAAGACCAGGTTCATGGCCCCTTAGGCCCAACGTACAACCAGTGAACCAAATTATAATGAAACAGTTCAGATTATAAAAACAAAATGAAGCAAAATAAACCTTCTCAGAGCATCTAAATATGGGGCTCGAGACATTCAACCAAGTCCATGAGGCACTTTTTGCCAATTCAAGATACCCATACTTGATTTGAGGAACATCTACGGGACTGCTAGAGACTTCAGACAAGAAAAACCAAGAAGTTTTCATTTCAGTTTTTTGAAATGTAGACTCAGAAAAGTGATAAAGATGAGTATTTAATGTCACCGGCAATAATGTTGTCCCCATCCAACGTAAAGATATCCCATGAAAAATCTGAATCAATAGGGCTAATACGTTTCACTTCACCGCTGCAATTTGATAATCAACCATCAGTTAATCACAATTTTAATTGAAGCATTGTACACAGTAAATGAACCTTGTATCCAGAGACAGTCACCTCAGCACATTAACTGAAAGTATTACTCGCTTGCTACCCAGA